CCAGGGAATAAAAAGGTGAGGGAGATGATGAGGTCGGCGGAGAAGGCCGTACTGAAGAAAAGTGGGTCGGCGTATTTGTCCGGGTTCGTGATGCCACACGACGGGGCGGAGCAGCTGCGGCGGAGAGGGTACCACATGGTGGCGGGGGCGACGGACTTGGGGCTGTTCAGAAGCGCGGCGGTGGAGGATGTGAGGAGATTCAAGATGAGTTCGCCGGAGCAAGAATCCGACGAGGACAAGGGTAAGAATGGTAAAGAAGTTGCTGATGAGAAATACTGGAGTGAGTGAATGAGGTTAGTTTTGTACATTCACATTGTTGGAAGAATAATATCTGCCTTTTCTTCAATTTGAGTTCTTCATTCTTGCAGCTATATCAATGGTAATTTCGTAGTCGATTTTTAGCTCGTTTTCCGAAGTCTCGAGTGCACTGTTTTGTGTTGTAGAATGAGCATTAGTCTTCTTCTCCATTGTAGTGATAGTTCGTAGCTTAAAAGAGAATTCAGAATAGAAATATGTTGATGATTTTGGCCTCAAGGAGAGTTGGATCTTGAGCAATATATTGATACATACATTGGCGAATTCAGAATTTTCGAAAAAATTCATCGAAACTAACATTTGTTTGATATATATTTTCAATGTACGACACCAAAACATCATTCAAGATTTGACATCCCATTCGATTGCGTAGCTCTGATGATTTAACAATCTTCATTGCTAGGATATTCTACTGCTACGGCTGCAACCGACAAAATTAATGATAATTTCAATAACAAGTACACCAATAGATAAGTCACATTCTTTCTCTTGACAACCAACTTCTCAACAAGCTTACAACCAACTTCTCAACAAGCTTACTGGTTCCATCCATATTTGAAAAGTTTCGATCACTTCTAACATTCTTGATATAATTCGTAAGTTGATTCTCTAGGGCGATGTCAAAACGATCATTTTGAAAGTTGAAGATCTATCAATGTATAAAGGATTCAACATGATAATAATTCAATTTGGAAATTTGCGTACCTCTGCATGAGACTCTACCATCTCTCGAGTAAAATACAAAATCATCGTCCGTATTTAGAATGAGAAGGTTATTTTGAACACAAAAGGATGAAGTTTCTTGCAACAAATTATCTCATCCACCTTATCTCAATTCATGTAGTTGATCTTTGACAAAAATAACATATTTCATGTCATTTGAGATGAATGTTTTTTCCCCATCCTCTAATCATGTCATTTGAGATGAATGTTTTTTCCCCATCCTCTAATCTTGGCCCATCGACAATCTTGAAGAAAGCCCCAAATATTTGTCACGATGGTCAAGTAACTCAAGAGCTTATTCTGTCGAGCTTGAGCCCAAATTTATTTTGGGGTTTTTTTTTTATAGATTATTTCTATAATATTTTATATTATTATACATTATATAAATACAAAATAATATATAAAAAAAAAGTAATGCTCGCGAATCGGCTCGTGAGCTCACGAACAACTAAAACAAAATCTTGAGCTGGACTCGTCAGAAAACTCGAACTCGAAAAACATGAGTTCGAGTTTGAACTTTTTTCGAGCGACTCATCGAGCTCACGAGTCGGTTCAGCTCGCTTACAACCCCTAACCTAATATGTGGTAATATATATTTCTGGTTAACACACGAGACATTCCCAAAACTAAAAATAAAATAACTCTAGAAAAGAGATGAGCCATGCTACCCCAAGTAAGTACTATTGTCCGTCAATTGCATGTGCTTTATTGGAGAAGTGACATAATACAAATTATACAATTAATATTGTACCCAATATATATAAAGCTCCCATGTTGAGATGCACACAACTTCTTGAAACTCCAACTGTACCACGTGATATTCTTCTTATTCAAATAATTGACTTATTTTTCCATTCAAATATTAACACCATTTTTATTTATTTATTTATTCCATTAAGAATAACACCCACTTACTTTTACTTATCTTCATTGGGCTCTAATCAGACAGACAGTTCACCAAGATTCGTACAACGGACCACCATACCTCGTTTGAGCCCTGTGCCAATGTTATAAATATATTTTTGGTCCCTTTTCATTTCTACTATTTCAATTTCAGTCCAATTTCAATGGAATTTCATTTGTTCAAGAGTGAATTTGGATTTGACGGTAGATTCAAACTGAGTCCAAAACAATAACTTGAAAAGCACTTGCCACCTATGGTTTGAACTTCCTAACGAGCATGACTATTTACTAAATGGAATACTATTTTGGAGTTATGTGATTATATTGAAAGTACAAGGCAATTATGTGCACAAAGTTCAAACTACAGGGGATTATTTGCACAAAACTCAAACTACAAGGGAGTTAAGTGCTATTTACTCATAAATATTTGCTAAAATCATAAATCGATGCTGCGACTTCAACAAATTTCCCGCTACAATATGTAGACGAACTCAGTTGTCGTTTCAAGGTCTAGTAGCAGCAAATATTAGGTACTCCCTCCGTTCCATAATATCTGACACTTTGGAGAATTTTTTTTGTTTCATATTATCTGTCACTTTAGATTTCCAACACTTCATTAATTACTTAAGTTCCAATTTATACCCTTATTAAAACTTTCCAACACTCTTTTTTTTTTAACTCATTTCTCTCTCTTATTAATTATAAGACAAGGTCATTTTAGTCTAAAAACATAGACATTTAATGAAATTCTTAATCTTTGTGTAAAGCTAAAAAACGACACTTACAAATGGAACGAAGGGACAAGGGAGTATGTTAAAGAGAATTAAAAGGCTATGGACTGATTCTTCCGAATGTTCGAATCACAGATGCAAAAGCAGAATTACCATAAAAACAAGGGACCACAAAATGTATTAATGATAAGTTTCTAGTGGGGGGTTATTTAATGATTTTCACAATAGAAATACTATGTCCCTTTGGCTACTTTTATCAAACAGTTGGTGTGCAGTACCCAAACTCCATCTGGCCAACCACACTTATATACACCTCCCAAACTAACTTCCCTCTTCAGATTTGGCCACACTTCTCAAAAGGGGCATCAAATAGTTGCAGAGATTTCAAAAATGGCAATTCCCAAATCACCAAAACACCATTTTTGGTACACAATAATTCTCTTTCTTCTGTCAATCCAAACCAAATTAGTTATGTGCAGCAGCATTTACAAAGTAGGAGATTTAGATGGCTGGGGCATACCGCCAGCTTCAAATCCACAAGTCTACACCAAATGGTCAAAGAATCACAAGTTCAAGATCGGAGATTCCCTCTGTAAGTAGTTGCTTAATTTTTTTTCTTCAATTTTCTCTCACACACACTGAGTGTGTAATGTGTGTGTTTTGTGGTGTGCAGTTTTTTTGTACCCACCGAGTCAGGACTCGGTGATCCAGGTGACGGCGGAATCGTACGGCAGCTGTGATATAAAAGATCCGATCTTGTACATGAACAATGGCAACTCTCTGTTCAATATTACAACGGGTTCGGATTTGTACTTCACTAGTGGGGCTGTGGGGAACTGTGAGAAATCGCAGAAACTTCACATTTCTTTGGGCGGAAATGGGTCCTCTGCGGCGGATTCGCCGCCGGCTGATGGACCGGCGGCTGCTTCTGCGCCGTCTTACCCGACCGTTTTCGGCTCGATTCCGGTTCAGGCTTCTTCGGACTCTCCGATGCTGGAAATTCCGGTTTTCTTGTCTGCGGTTGCTGGATTTTTTGTATCTCTATTTGTGATGTGAAAATAGTTTTTTTTTTTTTTTTTTTTTTTTTTATATATAGGGCATTATTATAATTTATTGGTATCTATTTAAGTTATTTATTTTGATATTAATATTCTTTGTAATATTATATTATATGAATTGGATCAAGGTTTTGCCACGAAATTCCATCACAATTTGGACATTTTTTCAGAGCATTTGATGCATGGAAAATAGTTGAACACTTATGGTCTCTTCAGCTAAATTTAGTTTAAATAGTTGAGAAGTTTTCACAACATTTGATAAATTGTTTTAAGAGTTAATAAATTTGTTACGTCTTATTTTTTAAAATTATTTTTTGGGTAAATTACGAAAACATCTTTGAACTTATGCTAAATAATAAAAAACACTCCCACCTACCCGTAATAACCAAAATCCCCCTCTGATTAACTATTGATCGAGTTTTTTAGAAGAAAATGTGTACAGTCTATTATACATTCGAGAAATAAATGAAAGTATTTGAGACTGTGTAAAGTCTATCCCATAAATAAACAAATAAAACCGTGAAAAGTCATGCAAACCTCAGGGGGTTTTTGGTAGGTACGAATATGTGATGGTGCTTTACGTAATTTACCCTTAATTTTTAAAGTGTTAGGATGGTGAGCTTATAAGCTATTTTTACTCATTATAAGATCTTAAATAAAAATGTGGTACACGTATTTTTTTAAAGAAGATCTTATTTGTTCACTAGCAGCTTATTTGTTGATTTTCTAAATCTTTTTTCAAATACCATTAACGAACACTTTGGAATAACTTATAAGTCCTTAAACATCTTATAAACTTTTTTTAACAACTTATAAGCTTAGCTTAAAAACACCATCTAAAGGTATAGCAAATAATGTCAACTTTTGAGCATTAGAATGACTAATGAAAAAAAATCACATCAAGCATTACAAGTTATTTTTAATTTCTCAATGATTTAACAATTAAATAGCTGTCATGCAATTTTGGCTGGCAGGCTAAAAAACACATTAGAAATTAACAGTAACATGGCTTCTTCTATATTGCATGTGATTATTCAATTCATATATATAAAGCTTTAATCATGCCAAATACAGCTAACTCGGCCGTGCCTTTATTATTTACGGTGGCACCGACATTGAATTTAGCAGGGAGAGTTTGCAATTTCATCCTCGTAGATGATAAGTTATTCAAATTTCAACCTTGTTATTTTTTCAAAGGAACAAATTTCATCCTTAAATTATAAATACAAAAGTTGGTTTTGTTGTTTTTATTTTTACATTTTTATCATGCCTTTATTTTTTATTGTTACGTTGGATAAAAGACTCAATTTAGTTAATAGGTCTTTGCAAAAGCTTTTGTAGAAGTAGAAGTTGTTGATTATGGTTTAAGATTCAAATAATTAATAGGGGAAACTACACTTTGCACCCCTGAACTATAGGGTCTGTCACAAACACCCCCTGGACTACAAAACGTGACAAAATGGCCCCTCCGTTTTTTGGTCAAACGTTAGAAAATTAACACCGTTAATTTAAGAGTGTAATTACTTATGTACCCTTGTAACTCTAACATTGTCTGTATTGTGTGCAGACTTATCATTCCTCTCACTTAGACAAAAAAACGTTTCTCCTTCACTCTAATAACGTAAGATCGAAATTTTTCCAAAATTTGATTTCTTTGCTGAATTCTTCCATGGTTTGATCATCTGAAGCGTTGATGTCTGAAGACGTCTGAAGAATTTGGAGCAAAACCAGCTGAGAA